TCCAGTAACACCAGACGACAGCAACCAATACGTGTGCCTGACAGTTAAGCGTAAGAACGTGAACTTCACGCTAGTGGCAGTATATATTTCGCCTTCAGGCCGCTTCGACCCAGCAAGATTAAGTGCCATTATATCAGCGACCCCTGGGCCATGGATTACTACCGGTGATTCTAACGCTCATCGCCCGCTGTGGGGAAGCCAGAAGATGGACCGTCGGGGAAGAAATGTGTCCTCCTTTGCATCTGACCACCAACTATATTGTTTAAATGACGGCACTCCCACGTTTTTACGGGGTCTGACATGTAGTAGCTGTCTCGACCTAACTTTTGTGTCAAGTAGCTCAAGTAACAAGGTGCAGTGGTTTGCAGACAATTAAACGCATGGCAGTGACCACATCCCCACATAGGGGCTAAGCAAGTCTCAAATCGCGCCCGCTTCACGGATAGACTGGTCAAAGTACAGATCATCCACATAGAAGCAATGCGAGAGAAACCAAGAAGGTTCTCTTTAAAGCCTAGAAGGTATAATGAAGGCCGCTATCCAAGAAGCAACGTTTAATTGTGGACCTTTGCCAGATTTCTGCAAATGTCAGGTGGAGTTGGAGCGACTTCGAGCAATCCGTCGTCGCGCCGAATGACGTTATAGGCGCACTAAATCCATCTACGACTTGAGGGATGCGAGACGTCTACAAAATAAGATTCAACGTCGAATCAATGCACTACAGTCGCTACGATGGAAGTCACTATGCGAGTCGCTCGATCCCCACAAACCTCTTTCACAAACATGGAGAATAATCCGCGGCCTACGAACATTGCCACAACAGCATCACCCATTAAAATGCCTTGCTCTCCACCAAAGTCGACGGGAAATCTATGTAGCAGAAAACTTCTGTGCCAGGGCTGCAAACAAGGGGTCCGGGATCAACATGAGTAACCTACGAAACGCACCGGTGTCCAGAGACACTCGGATGGACAATATGTTTTCTCTAGAGGAGCTTCAGGCAGCATTGGCAGCATGCAAGCGCTCGTCATCGCCTGGACCCGACGGAGTCACTTACACGGGGCCCTTGCTAACCTAGGGCAAACAGCTCGGCGTGCCCTTCTATAGCTGTATACAATGACTCGTGGGGCAACGGTTTGGTTCCTCCTTCGTGGAAGTGCAGCCGCCTTGTGCCCCTGCTCAAACCAGGCAAATTGCCTCTGGACATGGCCTCCTATCGCCCCATCGCGCTTGCCAGCTGTTTTGGAAAGGTGACGGAGAGAATGGTGCTGACTTGCCTAGCATAGTACCTGGAACATAATATATACCCCGATGCTTTGACCAGCTTTCAACGTGGACGGTCTTCCATAGACAATGTTGTTGATCTTGTCACGTCTGTACAACAGCAGAAAAGCCTAAAAAGATTATCAGCGGCACTTTTCTTGGATATTAATGCTGCATATGACAATGTACTACATGAAACCATCATGGACGCCTTGAGCAGCAATGGATTGGGAGGCCGCGTTTACCAATTGATATACAGCTATTTGAAGGACAGAACCTTCTTCGTTCAGACCGAAGATAGCGCAACAAGGCACCATCATACTTATCGCGGCGTACCTCAAGGTGGGGTCCTAAGCCCCATACTTTTCAACCTTGTGCTCATCGGCCTCGTTGACGTCCTGCCACACTCGGTACATCTGTCGAAATATGCGGACGACATCTGCATCTGGGCATCAGGGGTCACGCGTCTACACGTACGATCTAGGCTTCAGACATCAGACAACGGCTACATTGATGTCAAACTACCTTCAAGGACGAGGACTGGAGCTGTCGTCTGAGAAATGCTCACTGGTTGCGTTTACGTGCAAGACAATGACGCCATACCGCATCAGAATTAATGGACATACGATCAGCTATCAAAAGACCCACCGTTTCCTGGGAGTAATAATAGATCGTGACTTGTCTTGGAGCCCTCATATCGATCACATGAAGAAGAAACTGACCATGATCACCCACGTCCTAAGGTTTCTTGCGGGAAAATCATGGGGTATATCGGTACGAGCCATGCTTCAACTGTATGCTGCACTTTTTCTTGGCTTTATGCGCTACAGGCTACCTGTGCTTGGCAAGGCCCGCTTAACAAACGTACGCGTCCTCCAGTCATTACAAGCTCAAGAACTGAGAATATGCCTCGGGCTTCCGAGATGCGCATCCTCAGCAGCGACTGTTGCAATCGCTCATGAACACCCTATCACAACCTACATTCGTACATAAGACATGCCACCCGGATTCAATCGCATCACCTCGCCTCCCTTCCAACTTCTAGGTCACGCTCTGCGTTCTGCTCTATTATTGCCCCACATCGCACGGTGATTCCCACGAACTTCACGCACGCAGCAAGACCGTCGTTACCATTGTGGTGTCTACATCCACTGGAAGCCCTGATAACCATCCCCAGAATGCAAAAGAAGAAAAATTTGTCAAATTTGGCCCTAAAACAAACAACATTGCTATTTCTGCATGAGAAACACAGTGGACGCATTCACATTTACACGGATGGGTCGATCACTTCAACACGTTCAACAGGCGCAGTGGTAATTCCGGAGAAATCCATCACGATAAAGTTCAGGACCTCGCATCTGACATCATCCACGGCGGCAGAACTCGCCGCCATTCGTGCCGCTCTGGAGTTCCTAGTTGGAGAACCGCAAACAGGCATGGTAAATCTTCTCCGATTCCAAAGCAGCCATCCAGGGCATTGCCTCGCCATATCGTCATGGACCAAACGAACAGCTCATTGCTGAAATACGACTGCTTCACCACCGGGCTATAGAGAAACAACAAGACATAGCGTACCAATGGATACCAGGCCACTTCAGCATTAATGGAAACGACCGTGTAGATGAAGCAGCCCGATCTGCTCATGATGATGCCCCTTGTGCAGCTATACCATTACCAAGAACGGGCGCCGCCGCAAGGCTTCGATCACTTGCATGAGAACTGACACTCACTCAGTGAAATTCACCGGCATTCACCAACGTCCACCTTCATCATTTGGACCCACACCTACAGCTCCATCTTTCATCAGGAATAACCAGAGCTGAGGAGACACTTTTGTGCCGTCTGCGGATTGGGGTGGCCTTCACGAATGCTTATTCGTTTCGATTCGGAATGGCCAGCAGCCCGACATGTGACACCTGTGACTGCGCAGAGACTTTCTCCCATCTTCTCTGCGAGTGTCCTCGGTTCAGCGTGCCAATAAAAGAACTGTCGAAAGCTTTAGATAGACTAGACAATCGCCAATTGTCGGAAAAAAGGGTATTAGGATACTGGCCGAGACCGTCCTCTGCACGCAAGGCATTGAGAGCGTTGTTGCGCTTTCTGCGGGCAAGTGGTCTTAGAGACAGACTGTAAGCAGCGTCGTGGATCGTCTGATGACCTTCTCTCTCCTTTTTTTCAACGTCTCTTTTCCCTCATCTTTTATCCCCCTTACCCCCTTCCCCAGTACAGGGTAGCCAGCAGGTCTGAGAACTGGCTAACCTCCCTGTCCTTCCTCTTTCAATCCTTCTCCTCCTCACACAAGCATGTGCAGAAATCATACAAATTATGATGAGGAACGCGGGCAGAAAGCTGCGCGAAAATCAGCTTGACTGATCCCACCACGCCCTTCATGCAGCAACAAGAACACAGTCTGGCACAAAATTATGATGGGACAACTATAGGTGAGCCGAAAGTGATCCTCTTTGTTGGGGATAGAAAAAGCAATTAGTCACCATTAACTTCAAAAATTAGCTTTACTCGCTTCTTAAATATGTTGCTAAAAGCATGTGGTAATGTGCAAACATACTAAATTGTACTTGTTAGGCATATAGTTCATGAGAACTGTATAAAGTACGCTGGCCTTCATGGCTGTGCATTCTCAGACGACAAAAGGCACTGGATAAAAGCTGACCTGAAGGTTCGTGACTTTTAATCAGCGCATAATGTTTTATTATTGTGTTCTGCTTCAAGCCGATAGAGAAGATGTGGTGGTGGTGGTTACGTTGTCGTCCTTCGCCTCTAAGGTGACGATACCTTAGAGGTGAAGGACGACAACGTAACCTTAGTCCTCTAGCCATATTGCTCACTTAAAAAGAAGAAAATTCGCTGTTGCATTTCGTAACTGCCAGTTATAGGAAACGGCGCGGAGAAGAAATCATATCCTCGAATTGTTTTCGGGTGTGAGAATAAAAATGTAATTCTGTCGAACACGCACATACAAAACCCAAATATAACGAATTATTTGGTCACATCGAACAGTTGTAAAATCCCCTGAATTATATATTCGATATATAAGATATGTTATACATTATCCCACACTGAAGCAGCGCAAGCGCCAAAGTGGAAGTAAACCGGACGCAACAAACGCTTGTTGCCCGTCTGACTTCGTCCTTGTATTTGCTGCTTTAATCTATGAAATGGAACCGTACCAGTCATACGACAGAGTCAACTATATAATTTTTATATGTACAATCAGCTATATATCAAGCTCCCTTGTGACCCCCTCCCGATTCTATATATCTGGATTCAACTGTTAAGTAAGAACAGCGACAAACCAAGCATTGACAATGTACTCGTATCCTACATGTGTGGAACTCTTTCACCGTCAGCGCAGTGAACCCTGAAAGAAGTGGTCGTTTACTCGTCGGCTTCTTGCGTATAATGCACGAAGGCGTATGTATGACACAGAGAATCGCGTAGCACGATTGATGCTTCCTGCGACCTCAAGCATGCCGTGTCGGCGCATATTTGGAGCACGTCGTCCTGGTAAAACGAGAGCGTCGAAAAACGGCACGACGTCGAAGGACGGCACAGCAGCTTCCGGCCTTTCTTCGGCGACTGTTGGCAGCAACGACAACGACGTCGATCATCGTCGCTCAACGCCACGCTGCCGCGTTAGCCCGACGGGGGGATGGGGGGGGAGACGACGACTCGCCCGGCTGGCTCCCTCCCCACACCGTACCTACAGCGATGCGTGGGCCTACGCGTCCGATAAGATAAGCAGTCGGCGTCGTCTATCCAGCGAAGGTGATTGTGCGTGCCACGGCCGTGTTATTCATCCGTTACATCGCGGACGTGTCGCCCTACGGCAGGACTTCTGCGAGCATCGCATTCTTCAAGGCGGTGCACCGAATTCACAGCAACCCCACGCGCAGAATGAAAAGGCTCCGTGACTGACGGCGGGCCTCGTCTCGAAGGCGAGCGAGGGAAGGACCTTACCTGAGTAACGGTACTGCACGGGCCCCGCGAACGCTTCGTTGCCTGACTAGTTTTGTGCAGTGGCTTGTGCTTTCCGCGTGTATGTAGGTCGCACAATCCATGTGCTGAAGCGACAGAAACGCAGTCGACGTCGTTTTCACAAGTGGAACTGAACGCTCTTTGAAACCGCACCCCTTTTAAACCGACCACACCGTGTTAGAGTGCGTGTCGTTTGTGCACCTGTTATTCATTGTACAACGCAATATGGTGGACACTGTAAAGCTGTTGTGAACTGATACGCCAGGCATATTCTTCAGCGCTGCGTTGAGCACAAAATAAGTACCATGAAGATTCTTGTCCGATCACAAGTGACAAAGTATTCAATGCCCTTTGCCATCATGAGAGGATAGCTCGTGTTTTGCGCATGCTGTATATTTGAGTTACAGGCTTCTAAGCGAAATAATACAGCGTGTTGAGTAGCGTCGTTTTATATCAATGAAAGGCATTGTGGAGTCAAATTCCTAATTACTGTTTCATTTAGGCACGTCATTGATATTTAAGTAAACGAGTCTTGACCGGAACATCCGTCTTGCGTCTTGTTGAAACACTTCAGCGCGAGAACTGTTTTACCACGTTGGCACAAACAGGAAACGTTTACGCCTGTGTGTTCTACGAGTGCCTTTCGTCGCTTCAAGTGGAATCTCCTCCAGTTTTGCGATCGCATCGCAGCGACTTGCAACTTTTAGCGTCTAGTCGCCATACGTACTCCTGTGTGACGCCACGCTAGTGTCTGACCCGAACGAGACATGTTTACTTCAAGCGCACGCGGTCCAGCGGCTCCCTCAAGACAGTGGATTACGGCGTTGTTGGTGGCAACAGCCTGCTGCTTGTCGCACAAAGTGGTGGGTGTCGTTAGGCACCAATTTACGGATCCCGGTTTTTTGGGTGACCGCACTACAATAGTGGAGCTCTTCGAATGGGCCTGGCCCGACGTTGCCCAGGAGTGCGAAGACTTTCTCGGACCGTTCGGCTATGGAGCCGTGCAGGTGAGTATGAAAAAATGCATACTGTGGGTATTTAACTAGAAGGTAAAACTTCACAAACATTTAATGAAAAGTTCCGCTGAATAATAAAAGTATAAGAAATGATACTGTTTGCAGAAAACACTGTGTCGCAGCCATCTCCGATTCTGATAGAGGCCACAGCAGTGTTCTTGTTGTGCGATTCTTCAAACGATTCAAATAGAATTCGCTACTTCCGAAATAAACGTATATTATTAGGAAATTTCAGAAACATTTTCATTCGGTTCGCACATAATTCAAAAGCTTAATGAAGAAACTGAGTCACCAAGTATGAAACTGCAGTTCTACATTGCGATATCGTTACAAGTTTGCAAGATACGCCAATCACGGCGTATAAGCACACGCGGAATATTAATTACGAGTATGCGGAAGACGGCTGATTAGTTAGGAGATGTCTTGCTAGACCACATTTCATAACCACTGCCGCGTTGCAACATACGCTCGTTCGAGCTTGCCCTTTTCAGAGCACGTGACGATTCTGTCTATAGACGAGGCCGATATCGCTGACAGGTGTCCCCACCAAGCGAGAACGCATTTCTGCTCTACACGACCCCTGGCGGTGTGAACGTGAGGTCCTGGTACGAGCGCTACGAGCCGGTCAGCTACCGCATCGCGTCGCCCAGTGGTGACCTGCAGGAATTCGCCGACATGGTGCGAAGGTGCAAGGAGAGCCACGTGAAGTATGGCCGAGTGTTTATCGTCGATTTCTTCTTAGCGACCAAAGACGTGATTAGGCAGAATTTCGTTAATATCAATTATTTGAAAGGCGAGCGTACTCTCCAGCGAAGAATATAGAGTAAAGAAAACACACGGAGGCAACGAGATAGGCTAATGGGCAGAGCATAGACCTAGATGGAGTATGAACCTCAACCTCTCCACGGCAAAACAGTTAGAACGGTACAGAACAGTTATCCAATGTGAGTTCGAGAATGACAGACAATTTACTGTCCATTCAAAGGAAATACCTTAGACGCGCGCGCGTGTGTGCATGGGTTCTGATGCGATGACATTGCAGAAGTGGTTAACTGGGCCGAAACAGTCATGGCAAGCTTTTGGCCACCACCCTTCAAACCACCGGCAAATTAAATTTACCGACCTTGCTATGCCGTCTATAAAGTTGTTTCCCTCTCTGCACAGAACAATTATCGGGCTTTCTTTGTAATGGCAGAGGACTCACAGGAGCTCAATCACAGATGACCCAACATCAAAGGAATTAGAGTGAGTGGTCATAGCTAGAGTGTCATTGTACTGTGAGCTCGCAATACGTTTCATATATAGCTTTAATGTATAACATCTAAGTTATTAGGTGCAGTGTTTAATCACGAAACTTCTTCGACAAGCATTGTGGTGTTCGACGTACATCACCAAGTTAACCTCGTTGTCTACTGACGAGTGGCCGCGTCTAAACTCGGTCATAGCATCTGGATAGATCTCGTAGTACTCTAAGTACCACTCCAGACGTATTAGTATGTTAATCTTCATTATTCTTCACACACAACTAGCATGTGCGATGGAGGCACAGGAAATGTGCAGGGCGACTTGCTAGCTTTCAGCTCTCTCTCATCATTCTTTCCAATGTCACGTTCCCTCACCACTGGATAATCAACCAAGCATATTCATGGCTAAACCCCTGGCCTTTCACATTTTGTTTTCTTTCTTTCTTCGTTCCTTACTCGACAAGTTCAGATTGCGATATTGGTAAGTGACTAAATAAATACCACGTAGCAGGAAGGGTCAGTGCCTAAAGTTAACCTTGATCAGGCAGGCAGTTGGCGCCTTGTTCTTTAATGTTTACGCTCACGTCATCTTATTTTTTTTTGCGTATACTTGAGCATGTATTCCGATGCGAATAGTTGGTATGTTCTTATCGGGATTATCGTACATACGACCACTACGGCAGGGTGTTCGTGGACGTGGTGCTGAACCACATGACGTCGAACATCGGCAGTGGCTACGGCTACGACGGAACCGAGTTCAACTCCGAAGCATTCGCCTATACGGGTGTCTACAGCGCCAAGGACTTCCATTCACGCGCTGACTGCGGTACAGCCAGTGGCTTGGTTGAGGACTACTCCAACGTCGTACAGGTACGCCCAGCACTGGGACTTGCACGCACATTTTCAAGTACAGGCGAACCTTGTTGCACTATAGGAAAACGAGGAGTCATTTGACTGTTTTGTAAGGTCTCACTTGTATACGACTCTATAAAAGAGACGCTTGAGCTATCTTTGGTGATCATTATACTCTTGTCGGAAAGACGTGGCACGCGTAAGAGAGTTGAGGAGTGTAAATAAATGCATTATTAATTGTTCAATTAAATAATTAATATTTAATTAATAATTAATTATCTAATTAATGAGTCAGTGCGCTTATTTTTTACGAAAACATATACAATGGTGAAAAAATGTGGAGACGGCAAAAAAGCTGCAGTTGCTGCAGCTTGTAAACAGATTAAAGAGAGTGCTTGAATACAGAGAGTCGTTATGTGGTGGTAAATCAGGTCTTACCGAGAATAGCAACACATACTTTTTTCTTAGTGTATGCAACAAACAGTGCTATAGCGAATTATCGATTATAGCGAAATAAATGTGAATTTCGGTTGGTCAAGGTTGATTTCAGTTACATGCATTCGCTTTATAACGAAACCTACAAAGCCAGCGCCACCACGACATTGACTGTAACAAAGAAATTCTTTTTTCTTTCTCACGAGGTACAAAAATAAAACGGCACTGAAAAAATCTATTTAAATATTTAAAAAATTCACAAGTGCATTTTATAATCATTTGAAAAAGTTGCGAACATATTGGTCTTGCATTAAAAAAAAAAAGCACATGTGATTGGTTGCGACTTCATATGAATCGAGGTTTTTAAAGCTACAAGAAGGAAGGTTATGAATACCTTGTTAATAGCTGGTTTGAAGCCTACAGGAACGTGCTTTTTCATATCTGAAATTATGCACGACTCAGTCGTCCGATTAGTCAGAGGCAATTTTTACCCTCCATCTAGAGTTACTACAATTATCGCATATAACCAATTAACGTATGGCTCCGACGCTGCTTCGTTATAGCGAGGTTTGACGGTATTTTATTAAAAAATATTGTGTGAAATTTACTCGAAAGTTCACTAAATTCAACTCAGATGTCATTTATGTCTATCTCAAAGACACCTGATGCCTCATTATCAGTGCTTGCTGATTCCAGTCCTATGAAATTTCTGGGTACATACGTAGTGGCCTGGACTTAATCCAGTGAAAAAACTTTCGACAAGCGCTTTTAAAAGTAAAAGGAGTAACTGGGTGTAAAGTACAGACATAATGACCGATGCAAATTTTAAAGTTATACCATTTTCTATAAAGTTACTGGTTTATTTGCGAGCTTTTTATTACTAATCCTACTATTCATGCAGATAAATTGACCCTAAAACTGTTTTGACAATAATGCTGACATATTTATTTGTACAGAAGTCCGTCACAGAAGTCACTGTGCCTGTAGACAGAGCTGCTACGGGATTGAAAAGAAAAGCTTTCATCTTTTTTTACTCTTTCTTTGTAATTTTAGGTACACTTTCTATCTGTATTATAAATTTCAATGCTCAAGCATAAGTTTTTCATAAATTGGGTAGGTCCCAATGCATGGACAGATTTCGCTGTCACACAAAACTTTCATTAAAATGCCAAAAAAATATTCAAACTTCCCATCGACAGTTCTTGTTTGAACACAACTAGCGAACGGATACTTAAGTTCAGCCAGATAATATGCATAGTTAATAATTCACAGTCTTTAAAAATATTGTGTATACAGAATACAACACCTTGCCTTTTAGAAAATCGACTACAACTTCGTAGTTAATTGTAACAGCGCTACACGATTTCTCCTCAAGTCAGCCCCTGAATTTCACATAATCATTAAGACCACCTTGACTACAAGTATCATGAGCATGCTGCATAATATTTTAGTTCAGCCAATATGAATTTTCATTTTTTCATCAAACATTGTTAAACGGGCATAAAAAAGACCCTAGCTTGAACCCTGAATACTCTCTAAAAAGCCCTACTCTCAGCCAACCTGAAGAGATATTCAACGCGGAAGTACATCCACAAGCGACTTTCTCAAGTTCTATCAACAAACAATGCATGTAATGTTAAAGTTGAAGCAATGCCACCTTAGTTTTTGATGTCATGACCTTCTGCGGTCTCAACTGTGTTGAGATGCTACCTCATGAATAATACCACAAAGTGCGACTAAGTTTCTCAATTTCGCCGTCGTGATCTTTCAGGTACGGAATTGTAAGTTCCGTGGTCGGGCAGACCTAAACCACAAGCTCGAAAGCGTCCGGTCCAGGATCACTGCCTACCTTAAACAGCTGCTGTCGCTAGGCGTGAGCGGCTTCAGGATAGACGGTACCGACTACATGTGGCCAGCAGACATGGACATTATATACAGGCGATTGAGTCAACCGGACCAGGCAAAGCTGGAGCTCTTTGAGGCCAAACCCGCTGCTTATAGACTGATCGAGACCCCACTAGACAGTGAGTCGGAAACGCCTTCGGAGACTCCCTCAGACACTCCTTCAGAAGAACCATCAGATACACCCTCGGGGACACCCTCGCACACTCCCTCGGAGACTCCCTCCGACGGTTCCTCAAACGGTCCTTCGGAGGCTCCTTCAGAAACTCCCTCGGAAACTCCCTCGGATGCTCCACCAGACACTCCATCGGATAGCACCTCGGACATTCCCCCAGAAACTCCCTCCAATACTCCGTCGGAGGCTTCTTCAGACACCCAGCCAGAAAGTCCCTCAGATACCTCTTCCGATGCACCCTTAGATGCATCCTCGGACCCTTCTGTCGTGACCGCGGAAAGGAATACTGCGGACACAGAAACTGCTACGAACGTGCGAAAGCGAGATACGACCGTTGAGCAAGGTGGAGAAACAGTTAGCCCTCCCCACCTGACTTCGGACTTCGATGGCCCGTTCATTTACCACGAGATGTCGACGCTCAATTTGAGCTGGACCAAGGAGTATGAAAGGATAGGGGCCGTCACAAATGCCACTTTCTTCAAGACGTATGGTAAGCACAATTAATCTGCGCGAGGTGACTGTGTCGTTAGCTGGCTTGCATTTTATACAACGGAAAGTCCAGTCTTACTTATGGCTGAGGGATGACTAGTGAACGTTGGCCCTATTTCCCTAAACATCGCGTTATCACTGATGAGAATATTTATGTCTTGGTGAGGCGCATATGTTTGAGCATTTTTCATGCCCACCTTCCGAAGTCATCCTTCTAAAAAATAAGCTACTGAGACAAGTTTGTCTCATTGACCTTGTTGAAAGCCCGCCTAACGTATCCTTTCAAAAGTACTGCTATTGTTGTGCGCTGTGATTCAGGAACCTCCTACGAGTTCTACTTTGTCTATAATAAAGCTTCCAAACAGACTATAGTTCAAAAGAGCCATGAAGTAAGCATATGCATGACTGATATAATTTCTAAGCTCCGAAGGGTCGTCACACTTCGAACTTTAGTTTCAGCGGGAAAAAAATTAGTGCATATCGCAGTGTCCTTCGCGCGCAACAAACTTGCGTTTTGAACCCATCTCCTCGATATTTGGCTCACTCCCAGTTCTCTTCTTTAGAACATTCTGTTAAACGCCAGTTTCATTAAAGTACGATTGATGCCATCTTGAAGCCTGTCAACCTGCGTCGGCTTTTAACGCTCAAGCATCTTAGGACTACTGTCATTGAGAAATCGTGACCGCAACCTTCACCGTAACGTAACAGAAAGTGCACCGATCTTGGAAGTAACACTTCTGTAGAGGCAAGAAAGTTGCAACAGCGGTCCTAATAAGGATGCCATTTATAAGTAGCGGAGCTGAAGAAACAAATGTATCATACTGTTGTTGCAAAAAAGAAAGCAGACCAGACGGCTTCCAAAACAAAGCGTTACACCTTGTGCTAGAGCACACGTTACTGTCGTGGCGATATTCGTGGGCTGTGAAACTGGCGATAAACATTGAGGACTGTTCTGGCCTACTTCGTCGACACTGCCGGAACAATACCCACCGCATTTACTTGCATACCGCTACCAGTGGATAGCATCGTAAAATTAGGCTATAGTATTAACTGAAATGTGGATATAGCTTCGGCTGGTGTTAGCTAGTGCGCGCTAGTCTTGGCTACTGCTTGCTAAATTAAGCTCATATCAGCTGGTTATGACCAATAGTGGCTCATAACGGCCAATATGGGCTAGCATTGTCGCATGTTGGTTAAATGATGCGATTGCAAACAATGTTTTTGCTCATGTTGAAATGTAGTTTGTATGACTGTTACTGTTGTACTGAGTAATTTTCATACTAAGCCTTTTTCAACGTAAAAGTGCAGCTAATAACCCTATTCCTTGCTTTGCTGAATGATCATGCACTGCATAACACTTCCTCGTAAAGATTTTCTGTAATTTTCAAGATTATTTCTCTAAGTAAGCAAATGCAAAACATGAGCAAACACTTTATGGCCCTTTAGCCAAGGGCTATAGTTGTGGGGCCATGCTGTCCTTCATTCAAAACAACGCGGAATGGACGTGTGGCCTACTTCTCTATCATAATTTTTCCCACTCTGCAGCGAACGCCCTGAACAGGGTACGAGAGCGTCCGCTCAAGTCTCTGCGGCCATTCGTCATGGAAGCGAAAGCTGCTGGCGAGGCTGCTCAGGTGGTCTACGTGGACAGTCACGAAACGCAGCGCGGCGTGGATGTGACCGACACTGAAGGTGACGTAGTCACGTACCGCCACCGCAAGCGACACGTGCTGGCCACTGTGCTCATGCTGGCGCAGCCGCACGGCGTGCCGCGAGTGATGAGCAGCTACGATCTGGACAGGAAGTTCGAGACCTACGTGCCTCCCAAGACGCTGGGACCCCCGTTCGACCACATGTTCAACACCAAGCCTGTGCTCATGCGGGAGAACTTCGAGTGCTACAACGGCTGGATTTGCGAACACAGGTGATGATGATGATGATGATGATAATGATGGTGATGATGATGATGATGATGATTTATTTTCATAGTGTGTCGTACCTTTCCTGTAATGACCCTCAATAGAGGGTTGATGGTATTTCTAAATAAAAAAATAAATAATAAAAGACAGCTGCAGGTAAAAGCTGCTCGCCGAAAAAGGCAGCTGGACAAAGGCCCACAAAGCCACCTTTTAGCACGACAGCAGTGGCAAACAGCCAGCAATGTGAACTCAACAACAACAACAACAACAACAACAACAACAACAACAACAACAACAACAACAACAACAAATAGATGAATAAATAAAAAATAAATATATAAAAATCGAGTCCAAATTCCAAAAAATAAAAATAGCAACCATGCTAATACAGACTGCAAAGAACTCTTAAAAACTAAACATGTGTATATTGCGCAATTGAGTCTGTGTACAGTGTAAGAAATATATGCCAGCTGGCACATATTTATTAAGTAACGTAGGAACTTAGTAGGATAACTTATCTGTGGAGTAGTTTGTTCTCGAAGTTTTTATTTTCCATGTTTTTTTTTTATTTCGGGTTTCAAACAATGTATTATTTGGCTGAAGTTTTGAGAGGTCGTACAAAAAAATGACGACTTTCTTTCAATACGCGCCTGATCACCAATGCTAACTTAAAATTGTAGCGACGATGTATGGGTGGTATTCCTGCCTGTTGAAACAATTCGCTTGAGTGAGCATCATACAAGTTAAAAATGATTCTAAGATACTTCTTTTGCACCAGGTACAGTTCTTGCAAGTCCGTGTAAGTTGTAGTCCCCCATACCAAGAAACAATAGGTAAGATGGGAATAGAAATGTGATTTATAAATTCACATAAAGAACGCCAATAACGAGGGACAAGAAAAGAAGGAGACAGACAGCGGCACTGCCCTCGTTATTGGCGTTTTTTTTTTATGTGAATCATGTCGTACCAACTCGCCCAAGCAACCACGTTAGCTGATTTTATAAAGTAATAGTCTTAACTTGTATGACAACCTCACATTCATGGCGCTCACCCACAAAAGGGAATGGGCCAAGAACCACGCGGCAGGATGCTTAAAGTATCGGGCTGTGAAACTGAAATGAATGGTTCAGTCCGTCAGTCAGTCGGTCGGTTCTCAAAGTCTTGGCGGTACCTTATCTCTCTCGTTGATCGCTTGCTTCTTTATCGTTCGTTTGATAACCACCGATGTCGCATGCAACAAACAACGGTAAGCCATTGCAGTATCAATTATGTTTTTGGAACGCAGATTTTCGATTGACTTTCATGAGCTTTAAAGGGCTTTTTCTGCTTCTTTGAAGAAGTGCGACTTGTTCGCCTTGATCTGTGGTTTCTGCATGGTGTTTCTAACGGCAACAAGAAGATCACAATGCTTTGTTAGTGGAAATTATTTGCAAAGAACTTTACAGCACAACTTGCTGTCACATGTAAGGTTGTTCCTCTGTTTGCGTTGTGAAACTGACATTATCTTCTTTTCGTCGATTTCTTTTTTTAAAGACGATAATGTTTCTTGGGGACCTTCGACGGAAAAATTTTGGTCTGTCTGTCTGTACATTTGTCTATTTGTCCGCCCTAACGATACCTCAAACAGCACCAAACGGCCAACCCCATACGCAGCACCCACCAATATTGCTCAAGGTTTAGCGTTCACAGTTGTGCGATTGGCAATTAAAAAGCAATTATTGCGCATATCTAAGACGCCACAACAACGCTTCGATGTTTTCTATGTCTGCCTTTATACTAGAAGAGGCACACCCAAGTAACTTCAAGGAATGTAGCGTTTAATCGCGCTGCGCTGATGGTGCAACACGATGCCCAAAAAGGCGTTTCCAACGCTTTGCTACGACGTCACGGTGGTGGCACCTGCCCGTCGCTTTGCGTTCTACACCTTATCACCTCCGAGACTGGCGCGCATCTTTCTCTGCGGGCTGCACGCCTTCGTGTTCGAAGATAACTGCCAGATGGCACTTGTGTCTAACGTGCCCAGATGCGCTCGTTCTCCTCCGCCACACGCTCGAGGCACTCTAACGCAGCGCCTGCAGAATACCACTCACCGATTTTCTTGCGCAGAACATCAAATCAACGTTTTGTTCACTCTCTGCAGACGGAAGACTATCGTCTTTCGACGACATTTACAGTGTAACATGTAGATTAGGGCCAATTTTTTTTCGTAGAATGTCAGAGGCGTTGAGAAAACAGTGAGCAAAGGAAAAAGCGAAGTAGAAAGAACTGATCAGAAAGAGATGTGGGAAACTTCAGGAGCAAATGAAACAAAAAATTATTTGCTTTTGTCCACCATTCTTCTGCCCAAAATATTTGAAATCTAGCTGCCCAGCAATTTGCAATAGCACAAGGTGCAAACAAGCAATTAGTGCGACCGCAATGATACTACCTTCCTAGGTATAAGTATAACTCGAGATTCTATTTAGGTTTAAGCATGGCTCTTTCGGTTACTGCTTCACACGGTCATGTAACGTTGTTTTATCAAGTCAAGTTTTTAAGTTAACGCTTTCGCCTTCCTATTATCAATCCCAGACGGGATGCGACGGGGCGGGCGCATGCATCAGGATCATGCAAAATGTTTAGAAAGTGCGCCATAGAATCAAGCCAACCTAGGATTGGGATGTTTTAGGTACCCGGCGGATATAGCCTTGCGAAATTTGCAGGCAATAGCCCCGCCCGGTTTGCTCTTTGCTAGTTGTACTGAACTAATGACCCATTTGTGTGTGTGTGTGTGTGTGTGTGTGTGTGTGTGTGTGTGTGTGTGTGTGTGTGTGTGTGTGTGTGTGTGTGTGTGTGTGTGTGTGTGTGTTTTTAACTAACCTAATCATTCTGTCACTCCAACATATTTCTCAAAGGGCACCACCCTTTTGCTATTATGGCGACATCTATTGTTCGGCTGTCACGATGGGTTTACGGTGAAGAGTGCACAGTGACCGAAAAGGAAGAAAGGAAAGTAGAAGGAAAAGAACGGCAGGGAAGTTAGCCAGCCTATATGCAGCTGGTTTGCTACCCTACGCATGGGAGGGGGATGGGGGAGATGAAAAAATAAAGAGCAGAGAGGGAAGAGAGATAAACACAGCAGATTCGGCAGCACACGCGTGCACACTCAGTCATAGTCCAGTCTTGTCTTTCGCGGTGTGTGACATTGCTGTTACAGCCGCTTGTTCAAGTCCGTCTCGCGTAGGAATTTCAACAGAGCTTGTGTCGCTTTCTGTTGCAATGTCTTCTCTCGGGCACTTGAAAGAATAGTGTCCACAGACATTTGGCTGTTGTCGATGCGTGCAAGGACGGACGCCAGTGACTGTCTCTGAATGTCATACAACGGACAGTCGCACAGGATGTGGTGTAGCGTCTCTTCGCAATGACAGGCATCGCAGAGGGCGTTGTCGGCCATTCCTATGACAAAGGAATACGATTTTATAAATGCCACTCCTAGCCATAAGCAATGAAGAAGGGTGGCTTTTCTTCGGTCAAGCCCAGTCGGCATGTGGAGAGCCATCAAAGAGGACAGGTGGTGTTGACGAATTGTCTCGTTGCTTGGTGGGCACCATAGTGAAAACTTGACTTCACGCGCAAGGCGTCGAAGATTACTCGCTGTATCGGTCCGCGAAAGTGGTATGTCTTCTTCTCGTGTTCCTTCAAGAGCTGCCCGCGCGGCAGTATCGGCATGTTCGTTCCCTATGACGCCACAGTGACTTGGCAGCCACTGAAACGTCACATGATGCCCTTTCTCGTGTGAAGTGTGAAGAAGACATCAAATTTCGAAAACAAGGTGTTCTTACGGCCCGCGACGCAGTGCTGAGAGCACAGATTGTAGGGCAGCCCTTGAGTCGCTGAAAATCGACCATTATTGCGGTGTTGGTTCACAATTGAGCACACAAAGTGCAGCGCGCAAAGCAGCTAGTTCCGCTGCTGTAGATGCCGTGGAGTGGTCAGTCCTAAAGCTGATGGTAACACCTCTTGCTGGGACGACTACTGCACATGAAGAACACTGGTGGTTTGTGGAGCCATCGGTATATATATATGTACACTGTCTGAATATTTCTCGTGCAAAAGAAGAGGCAGTTGTTTCAGCACGGGCGATGAAAGTTCAGATTTCCTCCGGATCCCTGGTACACTAAGATGCACTGTGGGTCAAATAAGACACCAAGGGGGTATCGATGGTTTAGATGCAGGACTGAAGCCCGAGGGAAGTTTCCTGTTGTGCTTCACAATCATTTTAGCGAACCATGCTTGGCGCCTCTCTGAAGGAAACAGTGCAAGGTGATGACAGGGAGCACGTGCGAAGTGTCTGATGTGCGTTTTCAGGACTTCTACAACAATGCGAGTTTGTATCAGATAGTCACCAGCAATTGCAATTGTTGCCTCTGTTGACGTACATCTGGGTAGACCAAGACACACTCTCAGTGCTTGGGCTTGTACTGCCTGTAGAACACGAACATTGGTCTTGCAGGTATTGCTAAGCACGCGCAAGCTATATCTCAGGAAACCGAGAAACAGAGCTCTGTAGAGTTCCATCATTGCGTCTACCGACATCCCCCACGTCTTTCCTGCCAGGAACTTGAACAATTGGGAAATAGCGGTCAGGCTCTTCTTCATATAGGCCACATGCGGACTCCAACAGAGGTCCCTATCAATAATGATGCCCAGAAACCGGTGGGTTCTGGCGTAAGAAATTGGTCGCCCGCCGATTAAGATGACATAAGGGGTCATTGCTTTGCGAGTGAACGCCACCAGCGCGCATTTTTCTGGTGACATGCTGAGACAGTGACCGAAAATGTTCTTGATGAAAAAGTTTGAGTCTTTGAGCTTTCCTGAGATATTTCAACTGACCCTTATTTTGTTTTTTATGAAGTAAAAAAGTTTAGCATGATGAGGTTGAACTGTGAGCCTTGTTGTCATTATTCTATAAATACGTGTACCAGCTTGACCCTCGTGTGTTTAACCTGCATACATCACCACACAC